AACAACGAGCTAACAAATCCTTCAACAACCAATAGTCAACCTGAGAGACCCAAACCCCCCATGACCTAAACATTGATGATCCCGAAAGAAACCACTGGATACAATGAGCTCCTTGTACAAAAACTTCTTGATACGAAGACAACACACATTCATAAGCACATACATCTGATGGCAACATGTTCTACATGCCTGACTTGATCAAACCTTGAACCAAAGTCTTGCATACCCGGACTATATATCCATATGAACTATTATTCTGAAATCAAAAACTCGCACAGATCGATGATCCTCCAAGAAGAATACCTAGGTCTCCCTCACTTATGGTTCAAACTACCTCCAACTAACATTGAAAACAAACAAAAACTCAAATCACCTCAAAAAGATACATAGCATCCCTGACCCTTGGAATAAATAACACAATGCTAGATGATCTTCTAGATAATGACCAAGCAAAATCAAATAGATTCCGAATCTCATATAGAGACCTAGGAAACTCCCTAATCATAACTGCCCCTAACATAAAGAATCTCATGCAGATACACAAGCAATACTTATGATAGTCCATTCTTAACACAGATTCTTTATCTAGAATAAATGAACTAACACACACCTTTCCTATAAATCTCCAACCATCAATTCACTGCGAGAATCCTTCATAACTACAAGAGGCATCATATTCATAGTCACGATACGTCAAAGATAACGAAAGTTGCCATTATCGATTCACTTCCCTTGGTCCCTGAGACAATCAACTAGCACCTCACCTAACTATATATATATATATATATATATATATATATATATATATATATATATATATATATGAATAAATTGATCTCATCTTAGGGAAACAATACCACAACATCTACTTGTGTGTTCCCACACTACCACACTAGCCGCCATAAACCGTACTATCTACCCCCATGCAGTGTCTACACCCAAACTCTGAAGATCACATGTCTACTCTCTCTTTCTTCTAAATGCGGAAAGCTGGAAGAACATAACCTCTTCTAAAAATAGTGACATCCTAATCTATCTTCCAATTGCTTCCTTCTTGAGTCCCATGATTCAACTAGCACTACCTTAAGCACGAACCTTGAGACCTCGGGATCAAATAACTCACGTAGGTTTGCACCATATGAAACCCAAACGTACATGGCTACTATGGTCCAAGAAATCACCAGACCCATCCATAATATGGACAACCATAGATGATGATTCAATAAGGACAGAAACACATTACAGTGAATCATGGTTCCAAATCATACAATCTGCCCTCCATGAGATCCTTAGAATCCCTGAAATCCTCATTGATTCGAGTACGGATCTTGTGCTTTTAGTACTACGGGCTGAATACTACCTTCCACACATATGTATACTTTTCCTCAAGAATCGTCCTAGATCCTCTGAGTAACTACTCATGTCTTACTAATTGATCCAATTACATATACCCACTATCAATAAATACACATCGCTAAACAGCACACCAATTCCTCTAACGTACTTCCTAGGCTCTCCCAGGATTCCCACTTCACCGTGCCATCATTTGTTGAAGAACCTTTAGTAATATCAGCTAACTACTTCATGAATACAATTACATGCAACAAATTTAAATAATCTTTCGAATAAAAGACATAACCCTGCAATAGTTAGACTCAAACGAGAGCTGTACAATAAGGTCAAATCAATAATTATAGAATTATTTAACCCTTGCAGCATGGAACTTGAAATATTCATTTAATAGTTAGCTCATATCAATAGGGGTCCCACAAAGCACAAAAAAGTAGCATTCGAACAGTAAAACTCTATAGGCCATAAAACTTAAAAAGGTATTCCCCCAACTAGCTTGCTTCTACGATGCTAAAAAATTCTACCAACATTTTCGGTTGCCTTATTCATGCAAATTACACACAAAACGGGATCACATAGAATGTTGTATGAATGATTCTACCATAAGCCCACAACCAGACAAGGAACAGGAAATAAGGCCAAACCAGTCCTTCTATGGCTATATGATCCTAATTGTATACTATTTTTAAATTATACACTTAAAAGTCATTTCCAACAACACAGATTCCAAATCTGCCATAACATCCAATTCCTCCTAGGCTAAAAAGCATCACAAATCAAGCCATTTTATCCAACATCTGAAATACATACTAGCGTGTTGTTCCAAAAGCTCAATCAATACACATAAGCATGCATCACTCCTGGCATTCAATCATGTAATCCTGAGCAAATCCTTATCCCTAACCTAGCATACAATTCTAATATATTCATGCCAAAACAATAAGCATAACACATGTATGGGTATTTTGGTAAATACTTACTTGAGCTCGGCTTATTGCGTGCATCACAGCCCTTTTCTTTGTATAAACATTTTTAGAAAACTATTTTCTTTCAAAACGTTTACCAATTCCTCAGTTTGACTTCAGCCACACCCGAGAGTGTACCCGAATCCCTTAAACCAAGGCTCTGATACCAATTTGTAAGGTCCCAAAAATACCAAGTAAAATTTCATTTTTAAATAAGGCAAAACAATTTATTTAATATCTCAAGACAATCGGAATAATAGTGTTCTCAAAACAACAGAGTAATTCGTAAATATTCAGTGCGAAATGAATCATCAGGGGATGTAGTACGATCAATTTGGGCCCTTCCTTTTGAAACTAGAAATTCCTGAAACATTTTAAACATAAACCATAAGCACAAAGCTTAGTGAGTTCCCCAAAATACCCCCCTCCCCCCCCCCCCCACACACACATATATATATATATATATATATATATATATATATATAAGAACACGTAGCTATGCCGGGTGCATGATAACCCCCGGGTCCATATCAACCTAAAGTCCATAATGACTCCATATAAAAACTTGTAACTATGTCGGGTCTTTACAACACCTCGGGCCCGAGTCAAACCCAAGTCCATAATGACTATATATAAAAGCATCTAGTTGTGTCGGGTTCACACCAACCCCTTGGTCTATTTCACCCTACATACATGTGCATATAGGCATATCAATGTGAGTTACAAAGATAACAAGCATATACATGCATATAAGCAACTGTCACAAAGACAACTATCATCCTACAAACATAATCTAGTAGGCCGATATTGGTGTCTTCGACCCACGAGCACAGTGAAGAGACTCACCTCAAACGATATCTGGGTAAAACACATACTTAAGCTACTGCTATCATAAGCTCCTCACTCTAGACATAACCAAAACAACACGAAATAACAATTAAGGAAATTTTCCTACTTAACATGTCCAAAAATAATGGGGCTAACCCTTATTTGGGAAAAATACCATTTTGCCCCTTCCAAGCCTTAAACCCCTCACAGTAGACCAAAAGTCAACTAGTGAAAAAGTCAACAGTCAACCCTTTATTGACACATGTGCTACACACTCTAGCTCTACACTGGACGTAGAGCTTCAATCCGTAAAAACAAGCCTCAATTAGGCTACGCAGGGCGTAGCTTGAATTACCCATGACATACTGCCTTAGGTTCTGATATTCACATTAAGCACTTATTTTATTAAGGCCTATCAATCAAAGCTCAGATCTAGTTCCTAATTGTCACAACTCACAAATTAGGGTTAAGATGATGACCCTTGTACAAGATAATCTCCTTGTGTAACCTTGCAACATTTCATTAGTGAAATCGAAACTTCAATGCTATTAAGCTTCTATTTTCATACATTGTCATTTAGGGCGAAACAACCACACTTAAGCCCAAAACTCGATCCAATAAGCCAAGTCTAATCATTGTGGGACTTAGCCTAAGAATTGCCAATCCAAATCCCTTATTGGACTAAGACTCTTTAGTGGACTCTATAATGGGCCAAAAAACTTCTATTTAGCATTAGTAGGCCAAACAACCACTAATAAGCCTTCCATTAAGCCAAAAACCACTATTGGGCCTCTCATTGGTCCGAAAGCTTTTAATGAAATTTCTTTGGACCAAAAACTCATACTTGGGCACAAATTGGGGCGAAAACCTCTTAATTGAACCAAGAACCCTTCATAGAATATTAATGGGCCAAGAATCCTCTTGGGCTAGCCAAGATCGAAGCCCATTATCTTTTGGACCACCTATGGGCCTAATACCTCTCTTAATCGATTATGTCCATGAGTAAAAAAAAAAAGATAGGTTGGGTAATAAACTTGACACCTCAAAGTTGTACAACAAATAACAATGCATTAACCCAAAACATCAAGACAAGATGCCATTACCCAACATGTTTCAAGGACACACACTCTTCCCTCTCTTCCCTCTTATCTCTCGGCCAAACACTCCCTTCATAGAAAATATCAGATTTTTTTAAAGTACTATGAGAACTATTCTAAAAAAGTACCAAAACCACTTTTATACAAAATTCTTATGAACTCACCAACTTTTTAGTTGACGCTTTTCAAAATGACTTGTATTCTCAGGGAATCTAGTAACAGGTAATCAACTATGCGAAGAGATAAAGTGGTGTAACCTTATAAAATTTTACCTTTTGTCACTTTTGTGTAACTAATGAACAAGTACGATATGTAAACAATGTAAGTTTGTGTTCTCAATGTATGTCGCTTGTAATGCTATGTTTAATTCATATTCAATTGTGATGGTACTATACAATGACATCATCCGCCCCCGGACGTTTCCGCCGTGCTGGTTCGGGGGTGTGACAGGTAGGTATCAGAGCATTGTTATAACAAGTATAATTATAAAAATAGTATGATGATTTGAACACTACAGGTAGGCCCCGGGATATGTATTTAGACTTTGAATAAATATAGCCTGATCAACTATATTTATCCGAGGTGTAACTAGCATACGTTGGGAAATAGTCATGGCAAACAACAAGTCTATCACTTACCAAGAAACTCTAGAATCAAACATAAACGATTAAAATACTATAAAAGTATTTTAGGATACCATATAACCCCTGCATTTGAATCTTCTACATGTTTCTCACACCTCTATTCTCGTGCAAACAACATGGCTAAATTCCATCACAAAGACCCCTACTATCCTAACGTAATAGCCAACGGATGGATCGGGGAGGCGACAAAAGAGGTTCAAGAGGAAAATCCAAAAGTGGGTCTTGAAGAATACCAAGAAATGGACTATGAGGGGGAGAATGCTGCTGAGGAGTTAGACAAGGATGAAGACACCAGAGGGATCCTTAGCGAGCCTTACCTTTCAGGAGCAATACTAAAAAATCACACAATGCAAGAGGGCCCTACCGACCGTCTACGCTCTTTAGAGGAGGAAGTGGACAGCCTAAAGCAGCAGCTCTTTGCAACCGAAGCTAGAGCAGTTCAAGCAGAGCAGAGGGTAGATGAGACCACTCGTGAAATGAGTGAAATGGACGAGCACCTTGTGCGTTATTTCGGCATATGAGCGTCACTACACTACTCACACTATCTCTTAGGTTTATTATGTACTTTGTTATGACTAGTCGTAGTAAATCAAGAGAGTTACACCCTCCAAGAACCCATGTAATACGAATCAACTAATTATACAAATATCTATATTCTCTTTTGTTAAACTTAACAATCGTTAAATACCTCCTACTATTTATTAACATAGATATAGCGAAGGGATGTAGATCGAAACATTTAGACTCATATCACAAAACATGTGGATTGTATGTGTGCATACATAAATGTGTATTTATAAATATAGAAAACATACAAATGGAAACAACCATAGTCACTTACGAGCTCGCTTCCCCTCATGCAACAAAAATCATGTCTTCCCATGGAAACAACCAATCAACCGGTGAAATACCGATCCAACAAATAGACTTTGCTACTTTCCAAGCCACAGTGACGACTGTTGTGACAGTTGTCATGGTACAACTCAACAACACAAATGGAAATGGAAATAGTGCTGACAATCCTATCCTTAGTGAGGACCAAAAGAACCAACAAGTGTTTGCCTACAAAAACGCCCTAAACCACAAACCCAAGAACAAGAAGCGAAGTCTTGCAACAAGAGAGGGAGCAGTTCAACTCAAGGACCTACCAAAAGGCAACAAGCTGTAACAACCCCTATCCTTACTGACTCTACTACCTCGACACTGAGAACCTCATATGTTGGGTCTCACCCAAAATGCAAGTGCGGTTTGCATCACTCTGGAGCCTGCCGAAAGTTACACTGCAAAAATTACAACATGAAGTCTCACAACTAGCAAATTTAGGTTAAGATGTGAATTCTTGCACAAAATAATCTCCTTGTGTAACCTTACAACATCTCATCTGGTGAAATTCAAAACTTCAATTCCATTAAGATTCTATTTTTATACATTGACATTTGGGTCGAAACAATCTCATATAAGTCTGAAACTCGAACCAAAAAGCCAAGTCTTATCGTACCAAAAATCACTCATTGGGCCCTAATGGGCCGGAAACTTTTATTAAACATTACTTTGAGACGAAAATTGTCGTAATGGGCCTGTTGGGCCGAAATCTCCTAGTAAGCCTTTATATGGGTCGAAAAACCATACATGGGCCTTAGTTGGGCCAAGACCTCCTACTATAGGTTTAATTGGGCCAAAAACCCCTAGTAGGCATCAAAGGGCCAAAAACTTCATTGGGCCAAGACAAATCAAGTGAACAAATTTTTTTTTGGGTTAACCTTGGGCCCGTTAGGGTGGGCTAGTCAAAAAAAGAAAAAAAAAAAGAATAAGTGGTTTATAATTGTGACACCTTATAATTACACTACATATAAACATGTTAATTACCTCTCATGTAACCATGCATGAACATTTGAACCAAGGGGCTAAAATCTCCATCTATCCCTTCTCTTGCCTTAAATTTAGCTAACCTCCTCCTTCTCTCCACACTCACTTCAAAATTCCTCTTTACTCATTTCCTTCCAAACACTAAAAGCTTCTCTCATTTCCTTTCCTCCCAAGAATTTGTGGGTATGTATATGAGTTAGCTTCAAGGATTTTTCTTCAAAGAGTCCCAAATTTGGTAAGTTCTAGGTTAATCTCCATTGTTTTATTTCAAGTTTATGCTAAGATCCTTCGCTTACTCTCCCATTTTAATGATTATGGACCTTAGAACAACCACCATTTCAAAAGTTTCACCAAGAACACAAGCTAGACTCAAGCTTCTTCTTCATCTTCTTCAACATCTCAAAAAACCTCAAGGTGAGCTTCATACCCCACTATTTTTCATGTTTTCATACTCTTTGGGGGGAATACAAGTCAAAGTTTTAGTTAACCATTGGATAATTGCATGGACCATTGTGTTGTATGTTTAACTTTTGGGTTTTTACTTAAACATGAAATTTATCATATAGATCTTCATAAAATCATGAAATAAGTGTTATTAACATATATATTGTTTAAAGCTGTAGATATGAGGCTATACACTCCAAAAATAGCATAAATAAGTCTTGTGTGCAAACATGTATAACATAAACTGAATTTCTAGCCTTCCACGAAAATGTTATATGTCATTCACAAACTGTTTTGACCACCTGGAATGTGATATTTTTCAAAACTGTTTTACATGCAAAAAAAGATCAGGTTTATACCTTTCTAATGACTACTCTCAAGCGTTCATATGATTTTCTACAATTTTTGGCGATTTTTACAAAACTGCTTATAATTTCAGGAATAATCTCGGACCAGTGTGTGAAGATGAACAATTTTACACTGGTTTGAGGCCATTAAAAATTATGAGAAAAATTTTGAACAAAGTAGACTCGGTTTCCAAACTTCCAGAGTTTATCCAAATTTTGACTTACAATGATTTTTATATAATTTTTCTAAAAACATGGACACAAAAACCAAAAACCGGAAAATTGTTTTAACATACTAAAAATGCTTATACTTGTGTTTAGATGTAAGTTAAAGGTTGTGACCTTTTGAAAACACCTAGATATGATAACTTGCATATGCTTATATACTTGATTATATAAATATTTTCGAGAAATAACTAACACCTTGAAGTTGATCAAGTAAATCGTTGATGCGAGGTAGTGGGTACTTGTTCTTGATAGTCACCTTATTTAACTCACAGTAATCAATACACATTAGCATTGATCTACCCTTTTTCTTGACAAACAATACTAGAGCACCCCAAGGAGTGGTACACGGTCGAATGAAGCCTTTGTCAAGTAATTCCTGCAGTTGGATCATCATTTCCTTCATTTCGGCGGGTGCAAGATGATAAGGAGACTTTGCAATTAGATCAACACCAGGTACAAGGTCAATTCAGAATTTTACTTGCCTGTCTAGAGGAAGTCCAGGCAAATCTTCGAGGAAAACATCAGGATATTCATTAACAACGGGAACGTCATCTATCGTTTTCTTTTCCTCTTTTGAGATATCGACAGTGTAAGATAGATAGATAGAAAACCCCTTCGATATGAATTTACGAGCTTTTAGGAAAGAGACTATTTTTAAGTTTCTTTGTTCACCGTAGGCATAAATAGGATTCTCCCCTTTAATAGAAATATGTACTATCTTTTCATAGCATAAGAGTTCTGCATGGTTCTCTGACAACTGATCCATGCCGAGAATAATATCAAAGTTGGGCAAGGAGATAGGAATCAGGTTAGCAAGGAAATTATAACCTTCAATTTCCACGACACAATTCCTAAAGATTTTATCAGCAAGTAATGATAACTTCTAGCAGTATCTACGTGAAATGGTTGCGCAAGTGCATAGCAAACAATTTGAAAGGAATGCACAAATTCATGAGACACAAAACAATCTAAGGCACCATAATCAAATAAAATATGAGTAGGTGTAGAGTTGACAAGAAATGTACCCGTCACAACATTCGGGTCGTCACGTACCTCTTCTGTGGTAATCTGGAATGCACGGCCCTTGGCTTTTGGCACCTCCTCCTTTTTAGTTGGAGTATTCTTTGATTGTTTAACAGGAGCTTGATTTCTCGTTGGTTGTTGAAAAGAAGCTTGAGTCCCCATCACCTGACTAGTAAGAGTAGGACAGAATTGCTTTCTGTGGCCACTAATACCACAAGCAAAACATGTAACATCCTTCATTGGACAAATAGGCTTCTTGTGGCCTATTTCTCCACATCAAAAACAGACCACTGATCCTTTTTCTAGTCTGCTTTCGCCTGGATGATTATTTCGACAATTTCGACACATTGGCGATGGAAGAGAAAAAGATTGTGACCTACCGCGGCCATGAGATACATTATGAGATTCCACTTGCTTGCTAGGTTTAGTTCGAATGGTTTAAGCTAGTGGAATAGAGGAAACAGGAACAGTTCGATCGATACGTGGATGCTTTGAGACAAAAAGTGTGGCACCACGTATCTCCAAGTCATGCTCGCGTTTTCGGGCATACTCAACAGCTTTATCAAAATATAGAATATCCCGATTAATTACGAAATCGTGGATTTCATATCGTAATCCTTCCATGAATAACTGAATTTTATCATCTTCAGTCGGAATATACTTTGTAGCAAACCATGCTTTTTGATTGAATTGCGTTTCATATTCATTCATGGTCATTCCTCCTTGATTAAGTTCAAGGAACTCCTTCTCCAATCTTCTTCTCATATTTATAGGACAATACTTCTTTATTAAATGGGGTTTGAACATTCCCCAAGACAAATTCTCTTGATCATACTCTTTAAGAGCTTCAAATGTTACCTCCCACCAGACCAGGGCTTCTCCAGTGAACATTGCGGAGACATAATTGACTTTGTCTTCATTTATCACATGAGAGATACATAATACTTTTTCCGTATTTTGGATCCAGGTAAGAACAACAATAGGATTAATGGCACCTGAAAACTCTGTAGCACCACTACTCTTGAAATCTTTGAACGAGGGACGCTTCACCTCTCCTTTTGAAGATTCTCAAGTGGCTTTCTCTTTGCCTTTATCATTATCCTTCTTGTATTCTTTGAGAGTCTGCCGAATGATACTAGTAAGTTTACCCAAGAGTCGCTCCTCTCGAGGGGATACTAGAGTATTTACTTCACCAGGTTTAGGATCTCCACCCACTCCTGGTGTATGGCTACCTTCCTGTTCAGCCATTCTTCTAAAAATTTGGAGCAACGTAGTATCTAGAATATTAGGACTTATTATTACCAAATACTTTACTTAAATTTTTCCTATGGTTTGTATCCGTATACTCCTAATGAATCCGTTCATATATTGAACTTCCAACGGTTTAAGTCTAAATACCAATCTGTGATATTTAGTTCACTTAAACTATTGCTCTGATATCATGATTGAAAGACATAACCTCCGTTCATTCTATAACTACATCATATTGCTGAAAGGTCCAAACTTTCATACTTCACAATATTATTACTCCCAAAACATGCTACATGCATATTCATAAAACAATATTTTACATTGATTATTTATTTACATAGACTGGACACAAACCGGCTATT